GAATAACTTTTCAAGCGACTCTAGGCCATCAGTAACCTCTGTCTAACCTGTTGAATCTGCTCAGTCGTCTTGAGCACTATCTCAGTGCTACCCATCACTCGCTGCCCCACTTCTCCCCAACAGATGGGAGTCTGACACCTCCTCCCATATAGAAGCTCAAAAGGAGGCATACCGATACTGGAATGGTGGTTGTTGCTGTAAGAAATCTCAGCCAAGGGTAAATATGTGTCCCAACTTCCACCAAAGTCCAAAACACATGCTCGAAGCATGTCCTCGAGCGTCTGAATCGACCGCTCACTTTGTCCGTTTGTCTGAGGGTGGTAGGTTGTACTAAAATGCAATCGCGTTCCCAACTCCTCATGGAACTTCTTCCAAAATCTGGAAGTAAAACGCACATCCCGATCGAACACTATAGATGTCGGCACCCCATGCCGAGCTACCACCCCTCTCACATATATCTCTACCATCCTCTCTGCAGAAGATATCTCACTGATCACCAGAAAGTGAGCGCTCTTTGTCAAATGATTCACAATCACCTAAATCGTGTCGACACCCCCGCGCGGTCCTCGGTAACTTGCTGATAAAATCCATGGAAATTTGTTCCCATTTCCACTGGAGAACCTCTAGTGGCTGCAACTTGCCATGAAGACGCTGTTGCTCAACCTTAACCCGGTGACAGGTCAGACACCTCTTGACCACCCAAGGAACATCCCTCTTCATACAGGGCCACCAATAATCTCTTTTCAAGTCCAAATACATCTTAGTGACCCTAGGGTGGATCGAGAATCTTGATCTGTATGCCTCCTCCATCAGTACACGTCATGCTCCGCCTGAAAAAGGGCACCCAAATCCTCCCTCGAAAGGTCATAAGCCCCCGATTGTCCGTCACAAACTTGGACACATGCCCAATCACCTGTTCCCTCTTTCGGTTTTCCGGTCTCACGGCCTCTGCCTGGGCCTCTCGAATGGTATCTAATACTGGAGTCACCACAGTCATCCTCATGCACATGTATCAGATCGAGGTATTCTCTACTCTACGGCTCAGGGCGTCGACTACCACATTAGCCTTAGCGGATGATACAGGATCTCGTAGTCATAATCCTTCACTACATCCAACCATCTCCTCTGTCTCATGTTAAGGTTGCGCTGATCCATAATATACTTCAAACTCTTGTGGTCCGTGTATATGGTATATTGAACCCCGTACAGATAGTATCACCAGATCTTGAGGGAAAACACCACATCCCCCAACTCTAGATCGTGGGTGGGATATCTCGTATCATGAGGCTTTAACTGCCTCAATGTGTATGCTATCACGTGCCCTCTATTCATCAGTACCACACCCATGTCTGTAATAGATGCATCACAATATACCACGAAATCCTCCATTCCCTCCGGAAGGGCTAACACAGGAGCTTCGCACAATCTCTAGCGAAGGGGTCTCAAATAAGGTTAGCTGCTCGGGATCCCATGTAAAAGTAACGCCCTTCCGGGTCAACCGGGTGAGGGGAACGGAAATCTTGGAGTAATATTTGATAAACCTCCGATAATAACCAGCCAGAGCCAGAAAACTCCTAATCTCGGATGGGGATCTCGGCTCCACCCATCTCATAACCGCCTCAATCTTGGTCGGATCGACCAGGATCCCATTCTGATTAACGAGATGTCCAAGAAATTGGACTCTCGTAACCAAATATCACACTTGGAGAATTTGGCATATAGCCTCTCCGACCTCAAAACTCCCAAAACATCCCTAAGGTGCTCCTCGTGCTGCTCTCTGCATCTCGAATACACCAAGATTTCATCAATTAACACGATCACCGATCGATCCAACATACGCCTGCATACTCAGTTCATGAGATCCATGAACGCTGCTGGTGCATTGGTGAGCCCAAAAGGCATCACCACAAACTCGAAAAGCCCATAACGAGTCCTAAATGTTGTCTTCTGAATATCTTCCTCACGCACCCTCATCTGATGATACCCAAATCTTAAGTCAAGCTTGGAAAACCAAGTCGCACACTGCAACTTATCAAATCGATCATCGAACCTCGATAGAGGATAATGGTTCTTGACCGTCAGCTTGTTCAACTCCCAGTAATCAATGCACATCCGGTGTGAACCATCATTTTTCTTGACAAAAAGGATCGGTGCTCCCCACGGCGAGCTACTCGGTCGAATGAATCCCTTTCCCAACAGCTCCTGAAGCTGTGAGCACAACTCGGTCGAATGAGCTCCTTTTTCTATGTTCTTGATATCTCTTGTTTCTTATCGATGAGTACTACAACGTTCATTTAGACTTCGTCAGGTAATTCATAACTTCTTCATATGAACTATGTTCTTTATAGTCTTTATATCAACAGATTTGTATTTATGTAGACATCAGCTTTCATTTATATGATTTTTTCGAATAAGCAATCGATTTTTGTGTTGTGTTTGATGACACACATTGTTGTATTGTGACGAATGCGAACTTCGAAAAATCATAATTTCCTCATACAAAGTCAAATTTTGGCGTTCTTTATATTCATGGCTTCGTGATTACGATTACTATGGATTTCATTTAGATTATTTATCCTAAATAATCTTTTATTTATAATTTTTATATTTCGCATTTTGTTACATTTATAATTGTATTTTATACAAATATTATGTCACCATAATATTTATTTGTATAACATATATAGAGTAATCAAATAAAAATAGCACTTTGTAAAGACATAACATGTAAGAATAATTCTCATTTATTTATTTATTTATAATACAGTTTACATTAGTTTGTTAACGTAAAAATAAGGATCTATCAACGATATATCTAACGAAAAATGTAGGTGTTACATCTCATATCATTGGTTCCATATATACTATGCATGAAAGAGGAAAAATGTAGGTGTTACATCTCATATTATTGGTTCCACATATACTATGCATGAAAGAGGTGTTATTCCTTATTCGTGTCTTCAAAAGAGAGTTGGGAACAAGAGGTGTACTCGATATTTGCAAGACACTTGGGTAGGTGATGTTCCTTTAAAAGTTTGTTTTTTGTGGTTGTTTTATCTTGAAAAGAACCGAGAGTGTAGCACAGATATATAGGCTGATGGGTGGTAATGGTCTTGGATTCAACATTTTGATGATGGAGATTTGTAGAGGAAACTTCATGACCTCCTTCTTTTCCTCGGGTCTTTCCAGCCGGCTTATGAATAAAATGATTAGCGATGGGAGGTGAATGGGGTTCTTGGATTCGCGGTGAATGACGTTCAAAAAGTTATCGATAATGAGTGCATGTTGAATAGTAATTATGCAACTAGGTGAAATCGATTTGTTCCTAGAAATCTGAATATCTTTACTTGACGGGAGTTATTAGATCGTACAAGGTGTAGTCTAAGCCTTAAAGGTTTGGAAATCCCATCGTTGATTTTCTCGTTATGTTTAAAACAGATGGAAAATTGGTCATGTGTTGCTTTCGTGCAAGTAGGTTTTTGTTATTTGGAAAAGGGTGTTTAGATGGGTTGATTTGGCGTTGTTGGGTGTAGATATTTTATGGGACTTCTTTGTATTGTTGGAAGCAATATCTCTTTCTTCAAATAGGAGGTTGGTTTTAGTGTTAATTGTTTAGATTGCCCTTTGGGTGATTTGGCGGCTCCTTAATGGTTCAGTGTTTTAGGAGTCGCATCCGATTAAAACTTTTATTTTTTATAATATAGTTGATTTCTTGTATAACTTGTTTGTTTTAGAAACAACAAGATAAATGTTACTCGTATTGTTTGATAAAAAATAAAAAATAAAAAATAAAAAAAAAAATAAAAAAAAAAAAAAAAACTCAATGTTTATGATTTTAGTGTTATCAACATATTTTAGTGTAGTTAATATTATTATCGAGACAGATTGAGTTCAGTTTACTATCCGAGACTAGAAGTGTCGGGTGCACTCGGAGTGACAAATATAAACTTGGGAATACGGAGGTCCGGGGCAACACTCCCAGGGGGACAGGGTTCTAAGGGGAAATGCCATACCCTCAAAAATTTAGTTATTACATCATCATGATGTATTGGCGTTTTCCCTTATAACCACCATTAATCAACATTTTCCATGTATAAAAGGAAGATGGAAGTTACACACAAAGGTTAGAACTTTCATATAATCGAAAACTGATTCCTTTGCATCTCCTTGTCTTTGAAATTCACAAATCGCAACAAGTGTTTTGTGTTTCTAGTTTGTGTTTCTAGTTATGCTTAGGCCTGTAATCATAATTGAAGTTCTTGAATTATCTCACTTTTGAATTCGTGTACTCCAATCAATAGAGACAAATAATAGATTTCGAAAAATGATACAATCACAATCTTTGAAACATCCAAGTCAACTACTATTCGGAATCCCTAAATTCTAACACTCAATCATAGCTATTTCATTGTAATTTCTACCTTCTTTCTAGCGTCATTTAAAAAATTCAGTTGTTGAAAAATGAAAAGGTCGTTGTCAATTGAACGTGTTGTGAAATCTTTTTGCTCGATCAACTTGAGAATACAAGTGATATTTCCATTGTATCTTGGTAAAGTTCCCCAAGTATCATGAAATAGTATAGCCTTCTTGTTATGGTTTTACCTTATTTTGATGGTTTTAGAACCTATAATTACAACTATAACCAAAAAGTTGGAACATACAACTTCAAGATTATAACTAGAAAGTTTAATTTATTAAACTAACTAATCTAAGTATGATACGTATGTTCAACTTGTTTTTATAAAGTCATTCAAAATACATATTGATAAACATGAATTAGGTTAATTGCTCTTCGATGGATTTTTATTTTTATTATTATTATTATTATTTTGCTATTTTTTCGGATTTAGCTTTGGATTAAATTCTCCATGTCATGTTTAGTGATAATAATGTATTGGTTTCTTGCATAGTACACCGGAATTAGGCTTAAAAACTCGTCAAAATTATTTCTGACAATCATCAAAATAAACATAAGTGATAAGTGTTAATAAAAATACCAACGATCATGTGAACCGATAATATTTTTTTGTTTCCCTTCTTTGATGCATTCAATATAACTTACTAGACAAAGAAACATATCACACACATACACTACCATAAGCAAGATTTAATAATTAAAAACAGATAAATTCCACCACTTGATGTCCTATTAAGTGGTACAAGATTTAAATTATTAGCACAAAATTTTATGCAGATTCCTCTAATCTTAGATGTATTTATGCAAATGCAATACACCAATCTTCTTTAAGTGCCATTTTAAGATCAGCCACCTCATTCTCTTGCAACGTTATGCTTACTATCCTTCCATCAGAGCAACCTTTTGGTGTTGGAAGAACCAAAACAACACCTTTATCATCAATATTATCAATAGAACAATTCACATAAACGGGCGTTTGTCCTCTCACTTCAATCTCATAAAATGAGACGTCACTTAAATCGACAAAAGTCAAATTCGCTCCATAAATAAGAAAATCTGAAAGCATGTTATCACTCTTCATTGCTTCTTCAATGTTATTTCGCTCATCGACTACATTGTTCATCATCAATGACCCTAGTTGCTTCGGGTTGCATTCAACTATAGGAATATCTGATTTGACCACACCAATGCTTTGACTTTTATTAGTGATAGTTCCTTTGGTTCGATTTCTCAAATCACTTTTGCATACTGTAACGTTTTGCAATCCTAACCCATGTCTAATTTTTCCTAAACAATGCCAAATCACAACACAAATACATTCGAACGGAGGAATGTCTACGCCAACTTTCTCTTGACATATCTTCGCTTGTAACTGAGTCAACTCAGACATCGAAATATAAATGGAAAATGTCTCCATTTTGGAATTACTTGAAGTAGACCAAAGGTCTCCAACTGGGCCAACCCGTTTTACGGAAAGTATATTTGGGTTTGGGTTTGGGCTTTGGGTATCGGTGACATTGGTTTGTGGTTGGGCCATGGTGATTGGTTGGGCCGGGTAATGGCCCGCAATGGCTTGAGGCCATAGTCTAATGAAGCTCATAGCTGAAGAAGCATCTCCAAGTGTATGAGACCAGCTCATACCAACCGATGTGGCCCCACATTTAAACTTGGTTAACTGCACGTGACAAAACTCAACAATGAATATTTATGAATTTGTATGTAAAACTCTCTATATATATTTCAATTTTTTATAAATTTTTTGAAAAGTGTACAAAACAATTAATAAAAGGCTTTACCCTAAAATGAAATTGTTGATATCTGTTGCGAAACAGGTTATTTAAAATATACAAGTTGATGTAAAATCAATTTAAACATTAGTTAATTACTCTTTCATTTAATCATTAAAAGATATTAACTATGTTGGTATATAAAATTATTATATGTTTACATAATAGAAACATAATGTTAAATCCTTTTACTGAATTATGGGTGTAGTTAATGTTACCGACACAATGACAGATGACATGAATGCTATCAAGTACAATATTTTTTACCATTCTATTACCGACAATATTTTTTAATTATTGTATGCCTATTTTTTTTAATGAATCAGTTAATCTAAATTTTAACTAAATTGAATTTGGTTCTAAAATATGGATCCAATCAAATTAATATATGATCCGGACTATCCAAGTTATAGTTCTTTGGATTGTTGTCAGGGCCGGTCCAAATGTATATGAAGCCCGGGGCAAAAGGAAAAAAATGACCCCTTAAAGACAAATATAATAAAGATTCAAAAAAAATATCATTTATTCTTCACTATAAACATATTCAATTAGCAAAAGCAAGCAAGACAAATTATTTATCTTTTAAGCTAGTTTGAGTTTGAACCAACTTTAGGCCCTAAAAATCATTTTGGTAATAATTGGTTTATATATGTACACTACATAGCCCATAAATTTTGGGCCCCCTGGAGTCGTGGGCCCTGGGCGGTCGCCCGGGTTGCCCACCGTCTAAACCGGCCCTGATTGTTGTTTATAACCCGGTTTCATAAGTGCAAGGAGATTTCAAAAAATATATGAACAAAAGAAACTGTTGTGAAAATATTAATTATCATAAGCTAACATACAATATTAGGTTTAACAAGTTATGTTTCACTTTAAATGACATTAGGACATAATATAATCCAAATTCTATATAACAACGTTTTCTAAGCAACTACGTTAAATTAATATAAAAATTATATTATAAATAAAAATTAAAATCTATAATTATACCCGATCCGAAATCCAAAACTATTAATTTGGTTTTTGTCCAATCCAAAAATCATATTATCCAAACCATACATTATATTCCAAATTATCAGATTGTACACCTTTGTTTTATTAAATAATGAAGAGCTTTACTTGTTAGAATTATATCATCATTAAGAGTTAAGACTCCCTAAAGCAACATCGTAATAGATTTTTGATTTTGATAAATAATAAGACATTTGAAGACGTATCAACCAAACAGAAAGGTCAGCATTGCATGCTTTTATGATTTTATCTCATTATTGCTAAAGATAATGGAAGATAAAGTAATTCGAATACGTGGTACGAAATATATTAGTCTACAATATAAAAAAGATGGTGGTATTTTTCTTCTTTGTTAAATTTCTAAAGCTTCCTTCCATAATGATAAAGAAAATATGCAGATTCAAATGAATAATACATCGACTATTGGCATAAATATATAGTGAAATGTCGCTAAAAACTTTCTAAAACTATAAACGTTAGAAACATTCTTACACTCAAATGGGAAAGGAAATAGACATATTGATAGTCCTCTTATTGTTGTTGGTTTTATCATGGCCAAACATATTAAGTAAGTACACGTATTCAAAGCATAATACACAAAAAGACAAAAAAAAAAAAAAAAAACAAGATTAGCAAGCAAACCTGTATCATAACCAATGGAGAGAAAGGTAGTTCAGGGCCAATAACGTTGTTGGGAACAACAAACTTGTGTCTCGAATCATATTTAGATTCGAGCCACTCATCAAGGCTCAGATGACAACTAGCCTCGATGATTCGCACTCCACCATCATTGCATTTGAGGATGGGTCGACCCGTATCCGTCCTCCTAAATCGACCACATGGGATATAGGCATGATTTAACCAATCGAACATTGTTCTCTTAATGTTAGTGATGTTGAAACCATCGAATGCTGGTGTTCTGAAGTAGTAGACGAATCGTAGGTAGTGAAGCTTCATGGCTTGGTCTAGAGCAGTTAGCTCCTGAAACTCATCATTCCCACATACTAATCCGGGTGCGACTGTGGAGATTTTGAGGTCGTAAATGGAGTTTTGCTCTTTTGATGACATCATTTTCACTTAGAATATAAGTAGAATTTTGAAGAGTTGGATGTTGGATTTGATGGGTGTGGTTTGTTTATATATAGGAAAGAGATATTAAGGGTCTATGACATGTGATATTTATCAAGTATGAGAGTATAAATTTGAAGGCCATTGTTTCTTACGAAGTTTTTCAAAATAAACGTAGCATATAAAATAATTTGTACATGAATGAATCGCGTCATTTAAAAAAAATAGAATATGAAATAATAGATTAGGTCAAATGAAAATTCTTATGAACTGAAGATTAGAAAATAGCATTAACTTTTCGTTCAAAAGACAAATTAGTAATTTTAATTTTATATTATAAAGGAGACAATGTTACAGTTTTGATAAGAAAAATTGAAATGATACGAAGTTATGAACACGTGAGGGTGGATGAAATATGAAGTATGAAATATGGGTTGTGGGGTACAATGTAGTTGAGGAATTAAAAGCATAATTTAATTTGGTCAATAAAGCAAGAGTTACTATGCTCGACCTCATCTTCTCGTAACTCATTCCTGGTAAGAAAATTAAAACTTTTGTACTGCATTTCATCTTCGTATATTAATTAAAAAAGTAATTGCCAATGGTACATTTATGTTTATATCCGTATACTGCTTCTTTTAATTTAAATAAAAATAATAGTTACAACAAAGTCATATAAAACATGTCATTCTGAGTTATATTACGCAAGAGATTATCATATAGTAGGAAACTTTGTGAGACGTTAAGAAAATAATCACCATCCTCGTGTTTAGTTATACAAAAGAAAGCGTGAAAAGATTTTCGCAGGTTTAGTTTACTATTTTCATAATATATATGACAGATTCATGGTCCCCACCTAATAAAGCTTAATAATGGTTTGTGTGCCACATTTTTCTTGGAGTATTAATGTTTTGTTTGTTTCTAACGTAAAGTTCAACCATACATACAATCATACATACAATGTTCGTAATTTTTATTCGCTAAAGATTCGTGAAGTCGTCTACATTCATATATATAAGGGTTTGGTCTATTAGGAGGTTAGATCTTTAGCTATCTGTCTATTTTTTTCAATGTAATTCTTGGGGTCCTTCAAATTGTTGGTCATTAGATTTCATTGTGTATCCATATAGGGATGGCAACGGGGCGGGTTTGGAACGGGTTTTGGTAATCCCGCCCCCGTCCCTGAATATGAAAATCGATCCCATCACCGGCTCGATTCCCAACGGGTATCCATTTATCAAACACTATCGGGTCTGCGGGTATCCCAACGGGATAACGAGATCCCCGTTTAACATTCAAATTAAAAATAATTTTGATGAAATGAGAATACAAACCATTAGACTTAGTGATGCAAACATAAATTCATATCCAAAATAATTTTGATAATTTACAAAACTACTAAGAGAATACATATTTGTTCTGATACATAAGTGGTTACTAGTGGCAACAAAAACAATAAAGACACTAGCATTCATAAACCATAATATCACTATTACTCTAAATAATATGAATAAAAAAAATGTCAAAACACTAGCATTACAAATAAAGACAAAGCTATCTCAAGAAATTATCTTTAAATCGTTCACAACAAAGAAGATAATTCAAAGAAATTAATATATATATATATATATATATATATATATATATATATAATCATATTAACGGTTTCAGGTAATGGGTTTCGGTTTTGGTTTCGGGTAATCGGGACGGGTATTTTGTTTACCGTCCCCGTAACCAAACCCGCGAAAGTTTTCTAAAAGCATACCAAACCCGATCCCGATCCCAATTAACCGACCCCAAATCCGACCCTAATATGTCGGTTTTCGGTTTTCACCATCGGGTTCAGTTTCTTTTACTATCCCTATATCCATAGAGCAAAACATGACTATATCATTCTCAGTCGATACAACATTACAGGTTAATCAATTGCAAAAGTAGGTTACAACTCACCATCAATAAGTTTGTTATATTTTAAGAACAAATTTGTTGTTCTATAGTAAGTGCATTGTTGGTTGGTATTTTGTAATCATCATCCATCTTGCTAATGTAATGCTGTTGTATTCTAATAGGTTCGTTGTTGGTTCGTTAATTTAGTAATTAACAACTTTGTTGCATTAACTCATAAAGTATTATTTTATATAATAAGTTACTAGAGCACGAATTGTTATATTATATTACATAAATAGCCAAACATCTAACAGAAAAGATGCACTTTCCACGTTCGTAAAAATAAAAACCGAAAACACAAGCATCGCCACATATTACTAGCTAATTAGCTATTATCACTAGTACAGAAGAACTTTTTTAGTACGAAATTTTTTTTTTTTTAGGCAGTTGTATGTGGAAACTTCCTCATCAAATTCATGCAGCATTAAAAAACACGAAAACCGCAATAAAAAAGTTCCTCCAATAGATTTATTAATGCGGTTCACCAAAAGAAGCATTAAAAACGATTTTTTGATGCTATTTGCTGTAAACGCACCATTAAATTATAACTTTTTGGTGCGTTTTTTTTATAAACCGCTTCATTAAATTACGATTTTCTTGGTGCCATATTCCAAAAACCGCATCAATTAAAAGCTAGTTATTATCAGTACCAGGGTTTCTCTTTGTACATGTGAACGTTCTTCGGCGTAGATTCCCTCTGTAAGTGATAAAAACTCAAAATAGTCTCATTAAATTGTCTAGTTATCTTCATTAAAGGTAAATTAAATTTTGTTGTTCTTTTGATTTTATACTACGTGTTTATTTATTAAATGATTGTTTAATTGTTATTCTTAAATTGATTTTTATAGACTATTAAAATGTTAAAATTTACATAACCTGCTTGTTGAAAATCGATATATTACATTGTTTGTTTGTTTATTTTAATTTTTAGATGAATCGTAATTATTGGATGTACAAAGTTTCACGTTTTTCTGAACTTTATATAGAGGGTGTTCGAACTTTTGTTAGGGTTGGCGAAGCAAATCGCGTGAATAAAGGAAATGAATCGATTTCTTGTCCTTGTAACCTTTGTAAAAACTTTAAAACATTTAATTTTATTGGAGAAATAGAGTATCATTTATTGCAAAATGGTTTTGTGCCTAATTACACTTGTTGGTCAAGACATTGAGAAACACTTCTTGATTTTGGCACATCGTCGAGCAATATAAATATTAATAATAGTACATACAACAACGATTCATATGTTGATGAAGATGATCATCATTCAAATGACCCAAATGAGAATTTCAATGAAAGGTTTAATGACATGGAAACTAATATGGATGATGTTGAACAAGAAAAGTTACAACGCCTATTTGAAGAAGCAGAAACATCGTTATATAGCAGTTCCAAATTTATGAAACTCGGTGTGGTAAGTAGGTTGATTAACTTCAAGTCGAAAAACGGATGGACTGATAAAAGTTTCACAGGTCTATTAGAGGTTTTGCATGACATTCTTCTAGAAGATAATGTATTACCCATTTCTACATATCAAGCAAAAAAACTAATGTGTCTGATGGGACTGGAAGTTGAAAGAATACATGCATGTCCAAATAATTGTATGTTGTACAGAAAGGAGTTCGAGAATAAACATAATTGTGTTTTTTGCGGTGCATCGAGGTATAAACGGAGAAAAGATTCGGATGAAGTAGATGATGATGTGACAAAAAATGGACCACCGGATAAAATGTTGTGGTATCTCCCTATTATACCAAGACTAAAAAGGTTATTTTCAAACGAAAAAAGAAGCAAAGTACTTTGTTGGCATTCGGAAGAATGTGTAATTAACGGAAAACCAAGACATGTTGCGGATTCACCTTAGTGGAGAAATATTGATAAGAAGTATCATGAATTTGGAAAAGAGATGAGAAACATACGATTTGGGCTGAGTTCAGGCGGGATCAATACTTTTGGGAACATTAGCAGTCGTCATAGTACGTGGCCGGTTCTTTTATGCATTTACAATCTTCTACCATGGTTATGCATGAAACGGAAATACATTATGATGTCGTTGTTGATTCGGGGGCCGAGACAACCTTGTAACGATATTGATGTGTATTTGTCTCCTTTGATTGATGACTTAAAAACTCTTTGGAGTTCGGGTGTAGATGTATATGATGCTTATAAGAAACAACACTTTCAATTGCGGACCATGATTTTTTCTACTATAAGTGATTTTCCAGCATACGGTAACTTGTCAAGATACAAAACAAAGGGTAAGAAAAGCTTGTCCAGTTTTTGAAGATCAAACAAGCTCAATATGGTTAACAAATTCCAAAAAAACTGTATACATGGGACATCGAAGATTTCTTCCTAAGGGTCACCGTTTTAGGAAGAAAACTATTGAGTTTGATGGAAGTATTGATATCGGAACAATGAGGAAAAAATTTGATGTATTTTCACGAGTTGCAAGTTTAAATGTTGTGTTGGGAAAAAGATTTCGTGTTGATAAAAATGCCCTTTGGAAAAAAAAAAGTCAATCTTTTTTTGAATTGCCTTACTGGAGATATTTGGATGTTAGACATTGTCTAGATGTTATGCATATAGAAAAAATATATGTGAGAGCTTGATATGCTTATTATTAGAGATGAAGCATAAAACTAAAGAGGTTAATGTCCGAAAGGACATGGCCCAGATGAGGATACGTGAAGATCTTGCCCCCGAAGAGAGTGCTAACGGTGTTTATGTCCCACCTGCTTGTTATACTACATCCAAAGAAGAAAAAATAAAATTTTGTCAATGTTTACATGATATTAAGCTCCCATCAACTTATTCTGCAAACATTAAAAGATTGTGTCAATGAAAGACTGTAATTGTTTGGAATGAAGTCTCATGATTGTCATGTTTTGATGACACATATGATTCCTATCGTAATTCGTGGAATTTTACAAGATGATGTCTGACATTCTATCACTAAGCTTTGTTTGTTTTTTTTAACAACATTCACTCAAAGGTTATTGATGTTGAAGATTTGGATCAATGGGAGAAAGACGTTTATGTTACACTTTGTGAACTAAAGATGTACTTTCCACCCTCATTTTTTGATATAATGGTTCACCTCATATCTCATATCGTATAATAAATTAAGTCTTGTGGTCCTGTATTCTTACGGTACATGTAACCTTTTGAAAGATACATGGGTATCCTAAAAGGTTACGTAAGAAATCGTAATCGGCCAGAGGGCAGTATTGTTGAAGGGTATACTTGTGAAGAGGTGATTGAGTTCTACCAAGGTAATCCTATTAATAATATATTACAGTTATAACAATCTATAATATATTATATATAATATTAATATTTTTTGTAGGCTATATGAAAGATGTCAAAAGTGTTGGTGTTCCAAAAACTCGCCATTCAGGTCGACTTGAAGGAAAGG